TTTAGCATTTTTCTGAAATATAATCCATATATTAAAAAAAAATAATACGAAGTTATTAATATTATTATTTATTACTTAACGCACGTCTATCGTAAATTCCGTGAATCGTGCAGTTATATAATTTGATTTTTGTGTTATAATTAAATAAGATAAAGTTTGCTAAAAGCACCAATACGATAGTAACTCTCCAGGTAACTTTAAAAATATTATAAAAATCCTCTTGATTTGTTTAAATTGATTTTCGTTTGTGACTTATTGTTTAGATGAATGAGTATTTAAAATACAATTTAATTTCAATACAACATACAGTTCAGTAAAATATATAAAATACAGTTGATATATTTTAAAGTATATTTTTTGTTGAATATTAATTATTTAATGAATTGTATACATTTTAAAATTAAATAAATTTAATAAGCAATAAACATGCATTTTTGTTTGCATATTTTCGCATATTTTTGCATATTTTGAGTGCATATTTGAATGATAACCATCGCATAAATGCATGCATATTTCGTACGTTTTTAGTGCATATAATTCCGGGCCCTAATCATCAGCATATGCTAAGACCAATAATTTCTATTAAAACATTTATTTAAATTAAATTTAAACAAAAAAAAAAAACTTCGCGGTTTGATTGATGTTTTTGGAAAAAATAAGACCCAAACTTTAACGGTTTAAAAATAATAGTTATGTAAACTGTACGGTTCGCCTTACCGATGAATTTAACGCAAACAAACATACGTGCAAGCGTGTTGCGTGATTGCGTTCATTTATTTCATACGAACTTAACATCATCACGCGACCGTACGAGATAACGTTACGCAATTGACTACGAACATTTAGCATATTCGTGGCCGTCGCGGTCGGTCGCGTATTCCGCGCACGCGGCAATTACCGGAGGCGATTTTTATAAATATTTTTAAGGATACGTTTTATCTCCTCGCAGCCGACGGGGACAACGGTACGATAATTTTTATCGTATTTCACGGGACGACGCGGAACGATCTGCGGCGCGTAAAAAATATGCGCAATAAATCGGTCTCGGGCGAAAATCGTTCGCGCGCGCACGGCATTTCGGCAGTATTCCGATGGTTGCCGCTAGATTTTGGAATAAAAACAAGAGTACCGTTTTAGTTTCGCACGCCGCCCTGGCCGATGTCCAAAAAACCTGGCCAATATTCGTACGGCCACGTATCTGTACGTGTTCTACGGGGATCCGTACCCGAGACATTCCCGTACGCGGCATACCTAAGCGACCGTTTTTTCCACCCGGAATGCGACCGAACGCTGTTCGGAACGATCGAACGAGGGGTAGGTACCGAGGAACGTCCACACGTGTAACGCAATATTGTGTACTCCGACTCGTGACGCGTGGGGTGGACGAAAGAAGGAGCGCACGGGGAAACTTACCCCGTCCCGGAAGACGCAACGGTGTGTACTCAACGTTCGATGAACATCGTTACCGTTGTCGTCGAAACCCGTTGAAAGTTCGTGTTGCGATTCGACGTTCGAACAGAACTGTTGGCTTTTTCCATCGGTAAACCGAGTCTTAAACCGTAAATAACAAACTTATGAAAAATATGATTTTTTTTTGTTTTTTTCGTTCCCTTATTTGGAAATGTAATATCACTTGATAGACATTGTAACGCTTTGATTTTATTGACTTCGCATGTACCTGATGATGAACTTCCAATCCGAATCTGGTCGTACGTTACAAATATCATAATACTCCAGGCTAAGCATTTATTTATTTGTATATTAATTTACAAGTATTAACCATTATAACTAATTTTAATTCAAGTTTTTATTATTAATTTTATATCGTGTATTTCTTTAATACTTGTAATGGTACCATGTAAAACTGTATATTTATTCTTTACTTACTCCGCTAGTAAGTAGTAAAATATTTACAAATAAATCATTCGTAAACACTAGTATATGGAATTAGTGTAATAATATACTATTTCCCCCCTCTTACTCAAGAGTTCATCCATGGGCATCCATTATCCCTCTAAAAATACATTGTATTTGGTTTGTAATTAAAATAAATGAGTAAATAAATAATTTTTATTGTGGAAACAGCAAGTATGACAATAATAATCCGATAAATCGGATGCATAATAAACCTCTTTTTCTTCGCTATAATCGTTTAATCATATTCCGTTAACGCGCTGTGTACATAGTTCATAGCTATGCTGTAACAATACTATTTCAACGCGTAAATGGATAGATACACCGGACACGATGGGTATATGTATGATGTAACAAATTGGATTTTGTATATTATCATGGCGTTGAAATTGTATAAGAGCTTAACAGCCATTACAATAACAATAGCTGCAGCGCATATAATGATATCATGTCCATATCAATACCCGATGTAATATTGTGGGCGAAATAAACGTTTTCGTTAAAGGTTCTATAACGTTATGTCATTTCATAGTTTCAAATTGAAAATTTCAACCCACATAAAACCGAATATTATAAACTGTATATGTGTAGCGAATTGTTATACAATGATAGCGTACTCTTCAAACACTTTTCTACATTCTTCTTATTTCTTTCAATTATAAAAAAAAATTTAAAATAATTATTTCAATTAATATTTCAAAGGGATACGTTTTGCAGAATTGCACAGTTTAAACATCCAGTAAGTAGTGTAGAAACTATTTACTCATTCGATGATTACATCATGCATTATTCTGTTCGTGATATTTTGTTAAATAGAATATGTCTACATGCAAATGTCTCGTCGGATATTATTTTATCGACTGCCAATAACAACTTGTGAAGAACCTTGCACTCGATTTTCAAGCCTTTGGTACTAAACTTGAAAATATTTTGAGTTTCTACATAAATGTAGCCGATTTCCGTTATTTTGGTCAAGTTATAATGTTACAATTTTAACAATCAAATGTTTATATAGTTAATATACATTTTTTGTAAGAACTCAATTCGAGTATTTATGTACTTTTTTTTTTTTGTGGGGGGGAGGAGACTCGACTAGTATGTTCGTGAGCAGACGCATTGATACATTGTTGTATTATATCGGTCGGAGTGGATAAGCGTAAATATAGTAACCGCGTTCGGTATTATTCTTGCGAACAAACTCGCCGCGGCCAGAGCTAAAATACTCACACAGCTTTTAATGTCTTTTACACATTTAACACCAACCAAAACGGTTCTCAGATAATGCACGAACATTGTACCGTTTAATATTACGTTTGTCGAACGTCATCCTTTTGCTGCGCGAAAATAGATATGGTATCCATCATTGATATTGTAATATAAAGGATGATTGTACATACATTATGTGTTTATCGACCCGCGATACAATGTTGTACGTTGTAACGATGTTTATTGTAAAGGACACGTTTCACGTTTTTTTTTTTTTTTTTTAAATCTCGCTATCATTCAACAAATATTTTCCCATGACGTGATGTTGAGGGATACCTCTAGAATGTTTTAATAGATCCATAGGACACAGTGGGGTAGAATACGGTTTGATTTAAAAATAATAATATCAATACGTTACACGAGCATCATACGCAGGGCAGCCACAATGTGGGAGGGAAGCGAACTGGAAATGTGCCCAGGGTCTCGCGTTTTTTGAAATCTCGCTGATAAAATAATCGTAATATTATTTGGCGGTGGTAAATTACAAAAAATCGGTACAATAATACATACAGCCAAACACGCTTATTTTCCTTTTATAATAGATTTAAAAGTTATTAATGTGAATTAGTTTTTATCATTTATTTAATGAAATGTTGGATTTTTACCAATTAATGGTCATACAATAATTGTATAGTGCCTATTATTATTATAGACACTTAAGTGGTAGAAAGGGAAGAATCCTAAAACACGTAAACTATGAAATTATCGTAGACGAAATTGTAGCAAATAAAAAAACAGAAAAATTAATTTTAAATGGCTGTGGTTTTTTTTTATATTATTTATTCATCGCTGTTAGTGAAAAAAATATTTTCAAGACTAGAGTTACAAAAGAATCAAATAATAATTGAACAAATCGGTTAAAAAAGAAATGATTAGGTGATTTACAAAAGTGTTATTTGTGAAAATGAATTCTTCGAAAAATCTACGACAAGAAAACTAAATTCACTAAATTTAGAGGCGTCAAAAAGTGTGTTTTTGCCGTTGATTTTTGTGCAATCCGTTTACCAGGGGCCTAGCAAAACCCACCACGTGTTTTAACGGAATGGACTCGATCGTCCGGCGGACCGAAACGTCGTTCGGTAATCTAATTATCATCCGAGAACGGCGCGTGACCTTTGCCAAAAACAATACAGCGGCTAGAAGAAAGACGCGCGCGGTGACGATCATACGGCCGCGTCGCGATTTTTATCTAGCCGGTATACGCGATTGCCACGGAAAGCTGCGCGTACATCGTACGGGTTAAAAATATATTATTACAAACGCAAAGCCGGTATGCATAATCGCGCGAGAAGCACCAAATCCGTCCGGAACACCATATTAGAACAGCGTTTCCCAAACTGCGGTCCGTGGACCCTTAAGAGTCCGCACGTATACCAGAGGGGGTCCGCGAACGAAAATTTAAAATATACAAAGTATTATTGTAATCAAATATATCTATATATATTATATTATTATCTATAATATAATATAATAATACAATATTATCTCCTATCGTTTGTCAACGAACGGGATTTCGATAACACAACATACTACGACGGTTGACACGGTTGACGGACGTGTGTGTCCGATTCGCAGTTGAACTTGATATTAAATAAAATAACGTACGTGCGTTATATAAGTTTCTTCCGATGTTGTGCGAACCCTCCCCTCTCTCTACCACACTGTCTCTTTCTATACGTGTACGCGCTAGCACCGTTCGAAATATCGCTCCGTGCGCCGCGAGAACAGATGACGACAGTAAAATAGTTGCCAAAAAATTAGTGGAAAAAAAAAAAAAAAAAAGAAAAAATAATGTTTCACAAAAAATCTCATTGCCAACCGGCGCAGAACTGTACGACGGGGAGTTATGCTCTGGCTGTAAGTACGAACGAACGCGTCAACCGAGTGTCGTGTGGTGATGTGCTTTCGGTAGTGAATATTCATTCTTTTAGGGGGCTCGATGGATCTTAGATGGATTTTGATTATCGCCCTGCTTAGCGTCAGAGGTAATTCTTTTTTTTTTCTATATAATATTATAATAACGTCAAATACCGCGACCGATTTTATTTTTTATTTTTGATATGGTCCGGCCATATAAATTATTTGAACCGCGTGAAAAATCTACTATAATTATAATAATAATATTCGTGCGTTGCACCTTTTAATAATATACATTACTTACCTGTAAATGACTTGTGAGATTTTTATTATTATTTTTTATTTTTTTTTTTTTTTTTTTTTTTTTAATGGGATTATTATTATTATTATATATTAACATTAAAAAAGTATATATTTTTTACGTGCACCGTCAAGTTTCCTTTTGCCGATAAATCACACAAACGACCCTATTTCGGGCCTATGCGGGGGAAGTATTATAATTGGAACATGACTAAAAGCCCGTAAATACACTATCCGCGTAAAAATAGTATATAACATAATATCTCATAAACACGCCGTTCGGAAAATATCAAAAACATTTTAAGAAAATTGCTCTTTTCGACAAGCGCCAATAACGTGCGTACTTTATAATTGTAACGAAGAATTATTATTGTCGGCAATTACATATTAAGCATAATTTACATAATGTTCTTTTTTTTTTTTTTTCGCTTCATACCTTTTAACATGCCATCGTTATTTGTCACTTAATCCTTGTCTCTGAAAACAATGTGCTCGTTTAAAATTAGATTAATATCCTATAATGATATAATCTAACGAATAGATAACATGTAGTACAACAATGTATGTTTTTGACTGTGCATGTTTATGTGAAAGTCATATGATTAAGTATTGTAACCATGGGATGATTTTGACTTGCAAATATTTTTTTGTAGAAAGAAAAAACGGTGCGACGTATTAAAAATAAACCATTACAATTGTATTTTTACGAATTTAATCGATCACGTAGAAAAGATCCTAATACACACAGGTTTTCGTAAAATTGTTAACTCTCTTGCTGAACCACAGTCCCACCGCTCGCGACATTTCTATTTATGTAGGGGCATTAGGTTATGTTGTGTATTAATAGTGTGCCGACAGAACAACTGGGACACTCTGGTTGCAATTTTCTATTTTTATATTACCAGCGACCGTCTGGGATTTTTAAATAATCTCGCACACGATTATTTTATATCAATCGACATTAATTTTTTTTCTTCTACAATCCATGTTGCTGTACGTTTTTATTTTATTTTTTCATTCGCCGTCGATCTTTTAACTATTTTATTTATTATTTTCTAACACTTTTCTTCCTGCTAATTAAAAATGTTTTACCGCATAAATGTAAATCTTATAGGCTCATTTGTATTTTTTCACGATCAGTTTTTACTCCATCACTGATTTTGGTTTAGATACATTTTGTGAAACTTTTGCCAGTGTACCATCGGCGTCTATAGCTCCATCGGAGGTGGACTGTCAGCCATACGTAGAGAAAGCCATCAAAGAATTAGTTACTCCAGAACCTATTGGTAGTTAGATATTTAAAATTTATACATTTCAATACATATTATATTCAGGAAGTGTGTCGTATTCAGGAAGTACAGGGCACGACCAAAATACTCAAAATGAAAGCCCCCCAAGTGGAAGCACTCCAAATGATGATGTTACAGGCTCGAGTTCTCAAAATGGTAATCCTCCGGATGATAGCAGACCGAGTACACCGTCCGAACCGGTATAACAACAATAATCTATAATAATTATACAACAGGGTTCAGTTAAAAATATTTTGATATGATTTTAGGAAAAATCCGAAAAAAAAGAAGAAACAACCAGAAGCGAAATAAATGTAAGTGAAAGTGAGAACACAATAAATGCAAATGAAAAAATTGACAATGTAGTGATTGAATTTGAAAAAACTCAACAAGTTGAGTTACCCGAAGAAAATCAAACGAACAAAACTGAAGAAGAAGATGAAGAAATCAACATCGTAAGTGCGGACGATGAAAGCCCAGAACCTGATGTTATTAACATTGTCGAAAATAAAGTAATAGAACCCGAAGAAAAACCCGTCACAATTATTTTGAACAAAGATCAAATTAAGGATAATGTTGAAATTATAGTTGATGTAGAAACTATAAAAATTGAAAAAAATGAAAAAATACAAGAACCTATCATAGCTGAAGTAAAAGTAGAAGAAAAAATTGAAAATAAAGTAAATACAAACCTAGAAACTCCTAAACAAGTATTTAAAGGGACAAAGAGAAGAAATCCAAAATATTGGAAATTTGATCCAGATGAAGAAACTGAAGAAGTGGTACCTGTAGTAAAAAAACCAAAGAGAAATCTAAAATACTGGAAAATTGATCCTGATGAGTTTCCACCAGAAGAACCACCAAAACCAGTTGAAGTTCCAAAACCACGTAATCCTAAATACTGGAAACTCGACCCGGAAGAAGAAAAATTATACAACTTACTTAAGGCTAAAAAAGCTGAAGAAATAAAATCAGCTCCAAAGAAAAGTAAACGGAATCCCAAGTATTGGAAATTTGATCCAGATGAAGAAGAAATAGAAAAAACAAGCAAAAAAAGTGAAGATAATCCCGAAAAAAGTACAACAAAGGAAAAAATCTCAGAAAGAGAAACTAACCAGATTTTTAAAGGAACAAAAAAACGGAACCCAAAATATTGGAAATTTGACCCAGATGAATTTGTAGAAGTAGAAGAGGTTAAAAAACCAATCGTAAAACCAAAACGAAACCCTAAGTATTGGAAATTTGATCCTGATGAAGAGATTGTTGAAATTAAAAAACCAGTCGAAGAAAAGAAAGAGGAAAAAGAAGTTAACAAAAAAAATAAATACTGGAATACAGACGATCAAACTGTAGAAACGCAAAAAATAGTAGATAAAAAAGAAGAAGAGCAACCAAAAAAGAATAAATATTGGAAAAAGGAAGAAGTCGAAAATGTAAAACCGATAGAAGTAACAAAACCAGAAGAACCAGCAACTAAAAAGAACAAATACTGGAAAACGGAAGAAACAGAGGTACAAAAAGAAGTGAAAGAAGAAGATAACACTAAAAAAAATAAATATTGGAAATCCGATGAAAAACCTGTGGACGCGGTCCAAGAAAAATTGATAGAAACTCAACGAGGTATGTACTGGAAACTAGATAACGAAGAAAAACCATCGAAGGACAAAAAAATTAAATCGACTGAAGGTAATTATTATTAATCTGTGGAATGTTTGTCAAATGCCTATTCGCTCATGATTATTTTGATGTATTTAGATAAGATCAGAGTCGAAGAAGATCTATCAGTTGAAGACTTGACAATGGTAATATAATTTTAACTTAACACCCTTCATAATAACATACCATGTGCAAATAAAAACATTTATTGCAATAATAGTTCAAATATAATACATTGTGTTTCTTTGATAATAAAAATTAGACTATTAAAGATTATTATACGTAATATCGAAATAACAATATTAACAATACGGTTATGTATATAATAATACACTGTATTCACTATATTCTTATTTAGGACGAAGTTGTGCCAAAAAATCTAAGAAACAAAAGTCACATCAAGCAAACGTTAAAAATAGGCGAAGAGACCGCATCGCATGACGGTTTTCTGTCAAAAATTGTGGACACAACTCTGAAAGAGCTAAAAAAAGTTTACGAATCGGCTATCAAACCATTAGAAATGACTTTCAAATACAGGGATCTGAGTAACAGACATTTTGGAGGTAACGGTCAAGTTAATATCTTACACTGTTCGTACGTATGAGTAATTGCACGTGCTTGTTTGGTTGTATTTACATTCATTTTCAGAACCAGAAATATTCTCCAAGCCACTTATATTGTTCATGGGACCATGGAGTGGTGGAAAATCATCTATAATTAACTATCTCCTGGACATCGAACATTCTCAATTCTCATTAAGAACTGGTAAGTAGGTTATCATAACAAAAACGATGATTATATTATAAAATCGGAATCGCATAATGAATTCCGATACAACTGTTTGAGCGAAATACAAAATCGGAATTGCACAAAAAATACTGTACGATCACTACAAACGATAATATTAATACAAAGGTAAATATAGGATTTCGATGAATAACTGATGTTAAATACGTTTAGTATGCTGTGCGAAAATATAATACAACTTTTCGCGCTAAGTGATTAACAAATATAATTTTTGAAATACTAAATATACCGAAATAACGAGTGAAAAGTAATAAGCATTTTTAATATGTTCGGCGTTTTTCAGTTAATCCTCGGTGAAAACTATAATATTGCTCGGGTTAAATCGTTTATTTAAAATTTAATTTAGTGGTTTAGTGGTTCAAAGATTTTAAATCGAAATCCGATTGACAACATCTTAGTGATAATATTGTTACGTTTCATTATCGAAAACTCGATTTGAAATATATGTTTATAAATTGCATAAAATTAAATCGTAAAATCTGAATTTCCATATTTTTAATTGAATTACAAATTGTATTGCTTTGACGCTCCATCTCAAATTGTTAAATTTTAAAAACAAAATCAGCGGGCTCACACGATCCGAACGCGTATTGTCGTATATTATAAGAATATAGTGTAACCTGTGTTGTGCCTTGTTGCGAATTCAGGAGCGGAACCGTCACCTGCGTATTTCAACATCATGATGTACAACAACCGAGAGGCGATCCTGGACGGTACGCAACTAGCGGCCGACTGGACGTTTTCGGGTCTTCAAAAATTCGGTCAAGGTTTGTTGGACAAACTCCGTGGACTCAAACTGCCTCATCCTTTATTAGAGAAGGTAAGTGATACGTTTTGTTTAGGCTGCGTTGACGATGGCAGTCATCAAGTAGTGTTCATCGTGTCCGACAGTTAGGTAATTTTGACAAATACATATACTAAAAATAACTTTAAAAATCGAAAATTCATACGAATATACCTGTTGTTACAGTAATTTATAACTTTCTATCATCGAATTGTGTATTTTATTTTTTCATACTAATTCATCTTAAACGTTCTTATAAAATCAATAACCATTTACCTAATAAGCTTGTGTTAAGCAATAATTGTATTATAGTTGTAAAGTTAAACTATAAATTTTAATAGATTTATCTCCGGAATGGAAATAATAAAGTTACGGTCGAATGGCGTTACCGAAACGACTAAAATAATATCCTAATAAATATATCTAATATATCCTAATATATAAGGTAAGTATCCTATGAGTAATACTTTCATACACTCAAGTTCGTAACGTTTACTGTGACGTAATACACATGATATGTGTATAGGTATAAACTATTCGATATTACCGTGAATAAAAAATGCGTTTTAAATAAGAATGTACTCGTGAAAACTTTACACCGTTGGAATTTTGACGTTTGACCGTCGGATGACCATTAACGTTCATGTCTCACTAATCTCAGCCTAATCTGACTTAACCTTCTACGCACAGGTGAACATAGTGGAGATTCCGGGGATATTAGAAATGCGCAAGCACGTGGACCGCGTGTTCCCGTTCAACGACGTGTGCCAATGGTTCATCGACAGAGCTGACATGATATTCTTGGTGTACGATCCGTCAAAATTGGACGTAGGCCCGGAGACCGAAGCGATATTGGATCAACTCAAAGGTAGAGAGTATCAGGTACGTGTGCACGCGATTTTCGCGTATTTTTGTATACAATTTAGCAAATGGAATAGGTGAGAAAGAGTGAGAGAGAGGGGGAGAAAGCAAAGGATCGGATAACGACAGTATTCTATTTCAACGGAATTGAATTATGAATTTATGTAGTAATTTTTTCGAAATACCTGTAACGCGTATTCAAATTCGTAAAGGGATAACATTAAATTGTAAATTATAGATGACGAAAGTTTGACATTCTGCAGTATATTTTACCATTTATTATGCCGTAATATTATTCTTGAAATATACAGGAAACAAATTATTTATTTCAGTTGATAGATATTAAAATCGAGTGTATATGTAAATATGTATTCGAGTTGCAAATTGTAATAGTTCGTTTTTGATATTCCCTTTGAACAGTACCTATAATAAAAATAATAAAGTTTACCCATTCAAGGCAAACATTTTTTTTTTTTTTTTATTCAACTTAGTGAAAATCCATTGCAAATGGAGTGACAGCATAATGAATATAATATATACGAATGAATACCGCGATGGTCGGGGATACAGTCTTCTATTGCTCAATATCGATAAAAATAAAAAATAAAAAATAAATGGAATATCCCATTAGCATTTTTACTAATTAAAATATTTCTGTTTCCATGAAATATAATTTTTAACAATCCATGGTGACTATAAATATTATATTTATTAATTTAAAAATAAATAATATATTTTTCTGCAAAAATAGTTACTTAACATTTTATAAACTTCATTTTTTTGAAAATGTTGACGATCCAACGATTCTTAATTCCGTAATCCGATAGAATCGTTTATTTTTAATTAACAGAAGAAAAATTAATCTTGTAGGACGAATCCATTTCCAAGGAGAAATTAATTTCCAATAACACAAATTATGCGTAAAACAATATACTATTTTGTTGTAAAATAAAACGCCTATGAAATGGTTGCTTACGACTCCAGCAAAATAAAAAATTATAAAAAGCATTAAATATTTCTTAAATTGTGTTTTATGTTGAATCGTTTTATTAGAGTTTGAAAATACTTATAAATGTCATATTTATTCATGCGAGTCATAAAAAACCAAAAATACCCTAGAGTTTGTTGATCTTCAATAACGAAGGCTATATATTATCGCGGTTATAGTGCAAGCCCTCGGGGAACACCCCATAGTAGTTTAACAGACTTCTTAAAAAACAACTTCTGTGTCACGCGTTCGAAATAGTTATACGAACAGCCTTAGTGTTAAATCCGATCGCTCGAGATGTTTTATGTGTCTGCTGTGTACAATATAAAAATCGTGCGAGAACGTCGCGATGATTAATCAGGAAAAAAAATCATCGGCCGGCGGCGAAGCGGCGAGAACCAAGTATGTCTTAAAGTCAAGGGTAGATCCAGCATCTATTTAGAGTCGGGGGAGAGGAACTTTATAGGAGAAATTATGTAATATGGCTGATCATCGACATATATTGTGGTGTTTTGAGGGGGGCATATACTGTCGAAAGCCAATCGGCATTGAAGTGTTGAAACGTGCGAGTGTCCTGTTTTTTTTTTTCAGACCCGGATACTGTTGAACAAAGCCGACAAGATCCGCGCCGAGGAGTTGATGCGCGTGCAGGGCACACTCATATGGAACATCAGCCCGCTCATGTCCAGCGCGGAACCTCCGGTCATCTACTCGGTGTCCCTGTGGTCTAACCCGTACGAGATCGGATCGCCCGCCCGGCTGCTGCACTCGCAAGAGCTGTCGTTCCTGAAGGACATCCGGTCGGCCGTCGACCGACGAGTCGAAAACAAAATCGCCAGTGCCCGACGGTTCGCGGTACGTACGCGTACGGCCGCGCGTTCATTGCCGTTTTCTTTTTATATATTATTATCACTATTGTTGTTGGCTTTTTTTTTTGTCGTCCAGCACCTTTTAATTTTTTTCTATTACCGATTACTCCCCGAATTATCGTTGGAATGGTACTGTCGGATGGATTTGCGGAGAAACGATTTTCGCTCGGGTTGCCGTTATCACGGGTCGGGGATTCGGGTACGTGTTTTTCAGCGTTTCGTTAAAGTCAGGTCGCGATGACGGACGTTAAGACCGTAAAAGACGATTACCGTACAGGATTGTATTGCAAATGAAAATAACAGTATTCTGAGATAAAATGATGATGATGGTCATGATTGAGAATTTAGAGGGCGGATCTTGTGATTTTTGTACGATTTCTCGGTCTTGCGCCCGATTTCAAATTCATTACTATGTAACTTATGGCCGACCGAATCATTATTCAATTTATCACGTGCCTCACATCATTAATTCTACTATTCGATTTCTTTTATGACTACAATCATTTCAAATCCAATTCGACTTAAATGAAACACGAAATAAAATAATACTATTTTTCTGGTCGAATTTGGATCACTGGTTATTATTATTGATATGACACACTCGTCAACTGCATGTACATTATCTGTTTCTTTGACGACTAAGAACTCATATAGGAAGTGTATGTAATCATATAATACTCAAACTTAGAACATGCCCTGTAGAAAATGATTTGATGGGGGAATGTGCATTCACGAGAAACCGTTATGATGTTTAAACACCGTTTTTCACTTATTATATTTTGAATAGAAATTCCGACGAATAATTTGGCAGGTATTGAATATTTTATTTCAACGGTTTTTACTGCTTTTGCTTCTATCGTTTTTTTCTTTCTTTTTACTCAACACAAATTAAAACGTACTTTTAAGTGACCGACAATCTTATGACAAGACATAAATAACAATTAAATAGTACATATATTTACATTTTATACCTACATAAAAAATTAATTTTAAATAATAAATGTATACTTTACAGTTTTACTTTAACGACCATTATAAACTTCTATCGTAATGCATAAAGATGCTCATAACTAAATAATTGTACGACGAAAACTTTATTTATTTTTTTTATAGTATTTTAAAGCATTTGAGTTGTAGGTACTCAAAATACTTTTAAATAGTATTTTTTACATCATGTCTATAGGTCACGGATATTTAATGGGTCGTTGAAAAATAATAAGAATATTATCGTAGTTTTCATTTTAGAACTACTTCGAGACACTTGGCAAATCTTCAACATTTTCAAAAAAAATTCTCAATACCTATACATGTATATATATATACATATATACAAGGCCACATTTAAGAGGGGTACAGTTGTCAAAACCGCCCGGGCGCCAAAATTTTGGGGACGCCAAATATTTAAGGTGGTCGAAAATTTTTTCACTGAAATATATTTGTATATATTATGAATTATTAAAACTTTTAAAATTTAAATTAGTTTACGATATTTTTATTATAATAGTATTATCAATGAACTACCAAACTTCAATATCATTATACAACTTTTTTGGTGAACAATGGGTATAATGTAATTAAATAAATATATACATTTATACGTATATGTATATGTACAAGCAAGGCATGTGTTGCAGATAAATGGAGATAAATGTATATAACATTCTTTGCTTTGTTGAAAATTTAAAGAGCTCATGGGGATCTATCTCACTATGTGTAAGTCACTGTAAGGGGCGTAAATTGTCTAACTACGACACTGTTTATGTATAACAGAAATATAATAAGACTTTGGAAAATAGAATAACAATATATCGTTCTGTCCGTATAATTATTTTCCTATATGAATTATTTGAGTGAGCCTCACATAGATTTCATAACAATCAATACGAACGAGATATAGTCAATAGAGTCTTTCTTTACAGAAACTTAAATATTTGTACACGTTAAATACAAAACGAGACAAAAAATAATGTTTATTTCTTAATCGTTTGGCACAAAGAAAAATTTATATAGATCAAATAGTAGGTTGCCATAACGTAAACATTTGTAAACACATTTGTCCTGAAACTATTCCGAATAGTATACTGACATAGTGACACGATTTACATTAAGTGTTATACGTTCTACTCAACATTAAGTTGTCGGCACGGTTCCATGCAAACAGTGGTCAATGTGACTGTAAATCGATAGAGGGGGATGTTTACGCGTTGTAAACACTCTACATAATAACATATTATCGCCTTCTCTTGAAAATACATTTGTGTTTTATGTGAACCGTGTTAAGGATACTACATAATATTATTATAACAAAAAACAAAAAAAAATCACAATTTTTGAAAACTAACGAAACGGAGTGTAAAAAAGAAACGTTTACACTAAAAAGTGACATCGCGCGGCTTGGCATCATCATGAGACCTGATTAATTTTACACCCCTGGTCTGAAACGATCGTTCCGTGACCGCGGGTGTAATTTAATCGTGCATACGTTCACATTATGATAATGTCGTTACGCGACTGGATAACATCGCAGGGAAACGTGGTTGTGTGTTATGTGATTATAACGTTGACGGAAATCGGTTTCCAGGTCCGGGTTAGGAATCACGCGAAGATGGTGGACTGCTACCTGACCACGTATTACAACCACAAGACGTTCTTCGGCAACAAGAAGACGGTCAGCGACGACATCATCGAGAACCCGCAAAACTATCACATCTACGAGGGACTGAGCACGCTGACCAACATATCCCGGTACGATCTGCCGGACCCAGACGTGTACCGGGACTTCTTCCGCCTGAACCCGGTGTACGAGTTCAAACGGCTGCAAGACACGTGCACGTACTTCCGGGGCTGTCCGATAAACAAGTTGGACATGGCCATCGCGTATGACCTGCCCGACCTGATCGGACAATACAAAAGACAAGAGGAAGAGCTGGTGGTGGTGGCGCCTTAACGTCTGCAGCGCGTATAAGCGTAACACGTCATCGATTATACATAAATATAATAATTCTCTGCTCCTATCCACCGAGTATACATATATAGATATATATTTATATATTTATATACTCGTATATATTGATCCCCAATTACATTTTATTTTATTCAAATATTATTGTTTAACAATATTCGTTTTCATGTAGACTGTTATTTTTTTCTTTTTGATTTATATTAAATTATTAGATGATGTGTAGGGGAGGTACACACACTCGTAATAATATCATTATTGTGTGTGTGCCGGCCAAGAAAAATAAAATATGTTACTATATCGTGATGAAAAAAAAAAAAGAAAATATACGTATATATATTATATATATATATACTGGTATATATTATTATAGTATATGTATACGTTTCGAGAATAGAGCTGCGCGATTATTTTAATCGATTATCATTAACGAATGATAAACATTCGAATAACCGTTTATCGATTAACAATCAGTTAATCGAATAATCGATTTATCGATTATAATCGAAAATCATGCAGATATTCGATTATTGTGAAAAAAAAGTAATCGCGCACCATTATTCAAGAAACGTAATAACAATTATGTCCGTACAGTACTGCGGTACAATACGGTATCATACCGCAGTGGCACGCACCAACTACGCCACGTTCAAAATCAAATCATATGTACATATTACATAATATTTTTACGAATACGATCATAGTGACCGTCACAGGCGCGTTTGAACCACCAGGGCCAGAAGGGCATTTTTTCGAAACCGTCCGGGAAGAGGTCGGTAGAACCAAATCGTGTTGACAGTATTACAGTGCGTGAGCTCTCGGAGAAGGGCTTATCCGTAAGCGAGCCCTCTCTGAAATATGAACGTAGTGGGTGAAAGGCCAAGCCTTCGGGATTTTTTCCTCTTTGACTCGAACCCCATGCGTCCGATGAAGACCTTATCAACGTCGGTGCTCCTCCTGCTGCGGGTAGTTTTTCGAACAATCGCCACGATAACGGTACAAAAAACCCGGACCGACTCTGCTTGTGTCACGGCCTCTCCGGCGAGGCACGGTTCACCGGCAGTGGGGCGGCTGCACGCCCTGCCGTTCCCGTGGACCCACCGACGAAAACACGCCTGTGATGCAACGACACCGTGTGACAGCTTAAGTTTCATTGATTTCTTCACCGTTTTTCAACGTACACGAGCTTTAACGTACGCGTTCATCGCTTATTTAGTCGTGCAATGTTTCGGTGGTCGGTGAAGTGTTGAAAAACGCAATTTTTAAGCCGGAGACACGGATCCGACCGGACGAGGTGTGCGCATCGGATCCTATCTCGAACCGCGTCCCGTCCCATTTTGGCCAACGTCACCGGTCGCTCCGAGACGTGTGAACAGGGTGACCCGGACGGTAATATCAACTTCGCCCTCCTCAAACTTTATGTTCGGTGCGCCCTGTGCACCGCCCGTGTTGTTATAATAATGTGCAAGTGTTACGTGGACAATCGAATACGAGAATCGTTATAAATATAATTAATTACGTAGACCTTGGGTATTTCAATTTTAAAAAGAAATAGTTTGACGTCCCTTATAAAGAGTGTCGTAAATCACTTTTACAAAATTTTGGAATCAGGAAATACAATATAAACATTCAAAAATAAAATCTTATTCTGGTTTTCAAAAATTGTAAAGCTAAAAATTATTTTCATAATCTATCAGGTTCTTTCCTAAAATCCACTTATTCTATTTTCAGCTAACTCTATTTGTTGACCATACAAAATAGGTCAAAAAAAATTTATGAGTTACGACTATTTTCGATGGAAAAATAATTAAAAAAATAAGTTAAGACGTAATAACAATTGTAATGTCTTGTTAATCAAAATAATATTTATTATGACAACTCAACATAATTATAATACATATAATATTTTATAATATTTATAAGTCATAACACAATATATTGTATATAATTTAAAACGAAGAAAGTAGGCAGGTTTGGAATATGGCATATACAGTAATATGATTTAAATAATTTAGATAAAGTTATTGAATAATTATTATTTTAATAAAAAATCTTACTCTTAGTAGGTATAATAAACATTTAAAAAAATACCTACACATTTTTATTAAAACAATATTATGTTTTATATTGGGTATTTACAATATACTGTGTTGACACCAAACAATACATTTTGTATACTTAAGTATAATCAAATACTATAGAAATTAAAAAAATAAAAATATTAAAGTTATTATCTAATTTGTGGAAAATCTGTAGTTTTATTATTTTTTTATTGCACTTTTACCTTTTCTTCGATGACTGTACAATTTTCAATATGAGCATTATGATACTCTTCATCACTGCTTATCATGCCATGCATAATACTATAGCAATTTAAAATGCTATCCGAGTCATTACTTAAATCCTGCAGAAAATTTTATAGTGACAAATAATGATACATCACCTAATTTATTATACTTTTAACTATCTGAGAAATTTTAATAATACTTACGCTTTGTTCGCACTCGTTAATTATAATATTATTCATTGTGTATTCTATCACAAAAGTAAAATAAACAAAATATTGCTAATATTTTAACAATTAATAACATAATATCTCAATATTGAATTAAATAATGTTAAATTATGAAACTTTCATTACTTGTTATCAATCGTTATTGTGATTGATTATGCTAAAAGCTAAAACCCACAAAGGTAAGCAAGTAGAAAACCAACAATAGAATATTATAAATTATAATATTCGAGTTACCATAGTTTTCGTTGGTAATCTTGTTTAAAGTTAGTGGTCACTCATGATAAGACTTTTTTCGCGGGAAATTAACATTTTAATATTTATAGAAAATAATATTTTATAGTGTCTTCGGCTACAGTCGAGATACTGTTATTATTGTGGTGTTAAGAGAAAAAATTGCGCTAACAGATGGCGTTACTAACTCAATAACAAAAAAAAATGAATTGCGACACTCTTCGTTGCGGTCGTCAAGTTGTTAAATCAGAAAATTCTAAATACATTATTATGATTATTATAATTATTATTATTATTGTTATTATTATTTCATAAATTCATAAATCAGCTTTAATTTTGCTCTATCGCATCGAAATCATCTCAGACGTTTATAAATATAAATTTAGGGGGCTGGAGCGTGATTCATTTTCGGTCGAAAACATAGCTCACGACTTCAATAACTACGCCCAATATAATGTTCTGATATTGATTTTGAAAGCAAATTTGAATACGTCACTAAATTGTCTAGGCTTTGACAATTTCATTTTTAACCGATTAAAATATTTTGACTTTTTGTCATCGTTTGGATGTTTAAATACAGTTTTCAAACAATTTAGTACATTACCTATGGTATCATCGTCTCGTTACCAAAAATATCTAATTTTAATATCAGAAAATCATTTAAGTATTCATAAAAATTGTGTCACCAACAATATTGTTTAAGATTAGGAACATTTTTTGATGACCGTTTTTTAGCAAGCTTAAAATTATTTCCAAACCGGGTTTAATAAGATTATTTGAAAACATTCAGATAAAAATACTGTCACCACTTATATAGCCACGCATATATATAACCACGCACATATATATATAGCCACGTAGTTAAATATTGGAATTATGTGCTATTACACTCTCATCGCCATGACGATTTCTAAACAAACTTTGACAATTTAAAATTGAATCATATTGGCCCATTTTAGAAAAATATAATATACATTTGACTATTCATTGAAAATGAATACCTATCATTTATTATTCAGTCATTGGAAAGAGAATACAGTTTAGTAATAATTCGATTTATTGATTTGTAAACATAATTATACTTTATAAATTATTCAATTTGTTTAAATTGAGTACATTAATAATTCACACGGTCCTTTCGTTCTCGAGTTTACCGAGATGGACTTTGTTCGTTGGTCATCGTACAGCTCCCAGTTATTTCCACCATTTTTTTTGCAGTAGGCGCGGTAATATCCTACAGCGTTCCTTTGTTCGCTCAGTTCATGCGTGTGAGAACATATTCCTCTCAGATGGTACTGAGTTCTGTTCACTTTTACGATTGGAGGCACATTTTCCAAACTTATTAAAACTTGTTGAACCGCTTCGGAACTGACATTTTGATCAGTTGCATTTTCTGAAATGTCATCAACATAAAGAACTATTTATTATAAAAACGTAAAAGTGATGGTCGTAAAATACCTTCTCAATTGAACAGTTTAATAAATAAATGAATCGCTAAAACTCTTGGTCGAATCGATTTTATTCCTTTACAAATTTTTCCTTTTCGATTTATACTTTCACACTCGGAAGTTTCAATCGTTAATCTTGCTTTAACTTCTTCTTCAAACAGATTTAAATTTCCGTTTATGCTTAAGTATTGTTATGTACGACAAATACAAAAGTACAGCTTTTATACACGTGGGAATTGAGCATTTGATATCATCAATTATTGTCGGTAATTGTATTAACAATGCTTTAAGAACATTTCCCACTATGGTCTCACATGACACCAATGTCGTATTATAATCTAAATACTCCAGATTAGGTTGCAAATACTTATAAAATAAATATAAATATACTTATAAATATCTGTCAACAAGAATATCAGCTCAAACAATTGATGTTTATTATACTATAGATTATTCTACTGCATGAATTTCGAAGTCGCAATAGAGTTAATACCAAACAATATTATATCAAAAACTATAAATTTTTTTTTATGAAAACTTTACATGAAAATTAAAAATTAAAATCATATTTATTTACACAAACTGCATAATACATACGCGTTTTAAAACCAAGAGTCTCATACATTATTCTTTTGGTTATGGAAAAAACGCAATATCGTAACAATTTCTAAAAACGTTTCAAGTTAGATGTTAAATCAACAAAAAATTGTAAATTATTTGTTGAAAATTCGAATAACATTAAAATATTTTCGATTGCTAACATCTGATTATATTTAGATGATGTAGATACTTTATTTAAAATTATTGCCACATAACTTTATTATGTATTCATTATGAACATAGTTACCAGTATTTCCTTTCGAGTCGAATATGCTTTGGCCGAAATTCCATTTTTAACTATTCC